GTCGTTTGAGGATCTGTTCCTCAGGGGTCACATGGACTTGGGAGGAGCCCCAAAATATCACTTTTAATCGTAATATTCCACCCCGATGCTCAAAGGCTCCTGGCCATCTCAAATGCAAAGTGCATTTAATTAATCTGTGAGAGCCCCCCCCAAATTTTAGCAGTTCTAACATTGTTCAAAAGCTTAAAGTCCAGTCTCTTCTGAGACAGCAATCTTTTAAGTTGTGATCCCCTTTAAAATAAAAAAAAGAGTTACATACAGTATACCATGGCACAATAAATAGTCCTATTCTAAAAGGGATGAATGGGGGTTATAGCAAACAAAGATCAGGCTAAAGCAGTATCAAAATCCAGTGGGGCAAACACCAAATTCATGTTTGGCGTCTGGGACTCCTGGTGGCATTATTTGGGCTCTACTGGCCTTAGGAAGCCCCACTCTTCCAGGTATGCTACTTATAAGACACATAGATTCTCCCTTTGGCAGCCCTACTCTGTGCCCCGTAGGCTTTTTGACAGATGTGTTGTGGTCTTGACATCTCATGTCCTGGGTCTCCACTGCAAGTTAGACTTTACCTTCACAGCTTCACACAGTGGCTTCTCAGGGCCTTCTGCAGGGAATTTAGCCCTGCCATACATTTCCTGGCTTCAGTCAGTGGCTCTTGGGAACCTCAGTGCAAGCCCCCATGACCTTGTAACTTGCATTTTACATCTTTGAAAATCATGCACCATGTGGATGATGCAAAGTTGTGCTACTAGTTTGAGATGGAGTCTGGCCCCTCTATACAGCTGTAGTGGCATCTGTGTGCTTTGGCAGGTGAACCTGGGGAAACACTTCTAAGTAGTTGTTTTCAGTCACAGAGCCGCTTCAGTGACATTCTCAGCTCAGGTTGTCTCAAGTGAGTTTGCATTGTAAGAAGTTGGAGTCTAGTCTTTGGGGCACCATTCCTGTTGTCCTATTGAGTATGAGGTTTCTCTGTTAATTTCTTCATGGTTGCAACTGTCTTCATCATGCCTGCTGTGTCCACATCTTTACATTCGCTCACACTCCTTTTCTTGCCGGACTGCATTTATAATGTCTTGTAGCTTTGCCTGCTTCTCTCTCACTGCATACCTAAATAAGAGCAGAACGGTGAGTAGTAACCATGCCACAGCCTAGATTCTGTGGTGGCTTAAATTTTCCTCCACCAAACAAATTTGATTTAGCCTCACTCAAGTCCTCTGGGTATAGGCAAAATGCAGCCAGATTCTTTGGTAGAAAATTACATGAATGGCCTGTAATCCAGTTCTCATGGAGCTTTTGTTCTTCCTGAAGCCTGGCGAGCCAGGACTTCACTGTCTAAATTTCTGTTAGTCTCCTGGTCTTCCAGGCTCATACCAGAAGGGCCCATAAGTTCTGTGCAGGGCATTTTAGGGATTCTCTAGCTCATACGTTCAGATTCTTTGAAATTCCTCAGAAACCAGTAGAAAAAGGATGATCATGTAACCACGTGATCATGTCATCACAGCTTTAGCTCCACTTCTTGGAACAGATATTTTCTATTAGTTACTATTTCTCATGGCTGTGACCAGATACCTGACCAGAATCAACCCAGAGAAGAAAAGTTTATTTTGGTTCAAGGATTGGGGGAGACAGCTGGCGGAGGTAGGGAAGGCATGGCAGCAGGAGCAGGAAGAGGCTGGCCACATCATTCAGTGGGCAGTCAGGAGGCAGAGAGAGATGAACACTGGTGCTCAGCTGTTTCTTTTTTTTCCATTCTGTTCAGGATTCCTAGCCCATGAAATGGGGCCACCCATAATTCCTGGTGAGTTTTTTGTTCTTAGTTAAATCTCTCTGGAGACATCTTCACAGACAAAACCAGAGTATGTGTCCTAGGTGATTCAAAATATTGTCAAGTTAATAATAAAAACCATTATGTGGTTCTAGGAAGAATTTTTTTTTTATTGAAGTGATCTCTAAAGATCTTCATCAAAGGCACTGTTGCTGACAAGTACAAGTGCCTAGTCTCTTTGTGTTTCTAGTGTGATGTAAACAAAATGTGATGGAAGCCTATGTAAGATTTTACCATGAAAAGAGATTTTCATTGTGTTAACGTGATACTACTTTCATTCCCAGTAATAAAAACTCAGCAGTCTAGCAAAAACATAAACCTTAAAGGCTCTACTCTGGTGGTAATATAAGAAATGCTGATGAAAGAATTGTTAGATTCCATCTTTCCATTCAGTTCAGTAATTATTTAAAAAATGAATTTTTTGGCTAAAAACTTGCATTTTTAAAATTTTTTATCTTTCAGACTAAAACAGATACCTCAGAAAAGCCAACCAATCAATTATGGCTTGACCCTTCTGATATGATTCTCAGAGATGACATTTTGAGACTGAAAAATGAGGTGCAAGCTTTACAACAACAAAATCAGGTGATTGAGTGTCCTGTGTTTTTATGAGAGTTTTCATAACCTTATTAAATACAAAGGCTATAGCAGAGTTATATAAGACACGCAGGCAGTGTGTGTTAGTAGACAGATGTAGGCAGAGAGAGGCAGAGGCAGGTGGGGTGGGTGTCTTTGAGTCTTTGAGTTCAGGGTCAGCCTGGTCTACGTAGGAAGTTACAGGCCAGCTAGGGCTACATAGTGAGACCTTGTCTCAGGAATAAACAAAGCAAAATCTAAATTTAAAATTTTAACTTTTATTCCTATCAGAAAGCTATTTACTAAAGAAATACATATTATTAAGGTATGAAGATACTTTTTCTTTTGGAGAATTTTGAAAGTCAGATTACATCAGATAATGTTATAGAGCAAGGACTGTTAAGAATAAGTTTTGTTTATTTTCTGTGAATACTTTATTCTTCTGTGTCTAGGAACTTAAAGAAGCTGAAGAAAAGCTGAGAAATACAAATCAAGACCTATGTAATCAAATGAGACAGATGGTGCAGGATTTTGACCATGATAAGCAGGAGGCGGTGGATAGGTAAGGTCTATGACAGTACCTAATGCTTTATCTCCTGGGTCTCCTTCCCTGACAAGCCCATTCCTCCATCCTCAAAAAAGAGGATGAATTGAATCCTCTCTGTGGAGATCTTAGCTTAGCAGAGGCAAATCCCTAGGTTCTCCAATTAAACTTGGAACATATTTTAACAATGCTATGTGGTGGGCTGGGTTTTATAGCTCATCAAAATTGTAGTTCATTGAAATAATATAGCTTTTTAAAGATAATAGGGTAGTCTGGGAAGCTATTCTTTATAAAGAAGCAACCTGCGTGAGGGAATATGTCTTCCAAATACCAAATCATAAACTTAGAAACAGCTCTCTGGAACATAACTTATTTGTGAGTTGGATACTGTTGTTATTTGTACATTTAATATGTATGACTTGAATTTTAGAACCACTTTTCAGTTATTTCAATTAATTTCTTTGTAAACAGAAGTCCTCAGCACAGACTGTTCTGTGTAAAGGACTGGTGCATTCTCATATCCAAGAGTTCGATTTTTTTCTGGAAACATGAAGAAAGAAAGTTTAGAAGATTCTCAAAAGACTATTGGTTAGGGAGGAGCAATGTGGCCTTATTTATAATTTGCATTAGTGAAAATAAGGGAAAAGGAAGAAATCCCAATTTACTCTTTCTGCTTCTAGTAATACCTTGCTTTAGATTCCATCTCTGTTGCTAGGTGTGAAAGGACTTACCAACAACACCATGAAGCCATGAAAGCCCAGATCCGAGATAGCCTCTTAGCCAAGCACGCTGTGGAGAAGCAGCAGCTCTTTGAGGTTTATGAAGGGACTCACTTGCAGCTCAGGTGAGAGGAAAGGGGCTTGGTTGGCCTTTAGTGCCATAATTTGGAGGAAAATGGTTTGATATGCAGAACTTTTATTTTTTGTGGTTAGTTGCTTGTTTTTTGTATTCTAGGTCTGATCTCGACAAGATGAACAAGGAGATGACTGCTGTGCAGGAATGTTACCTAGAGGTATGCAGAGAGAAGGATAATCTAGAATCAGTTCTCAGGAAAACCATGGAAAAGGAGCAGCAGGTTCAGGAGCAGAAGGTGTGTTGGACTGTTCTTCATCATTTCCCTCTACAGGCTCCAGTCTTTACCCTAACACACTTGATAGAGGGAAGTAAGTGGGAAAGTATTCATGGGGGTCTCTTTATTTGGTTATATCAAACTAATATGGCTCACAAAATTCAGAAAAT